AGAGAGAGAGAGAGAGAGAGAGGGAGGGAGGGAAGGAGGAAAGGAGGGAGAGGGAGAGAGACAAAGCATGAGTCGGGGAGGAACAGAGAGGGAGACACAGAATCCAAAGCAGGCTCCAGGCTCTGAGCTGTCAGCAGAGCCCGATGCCGGGCTCAAACCCACGAACTGCGAGATCATGACCTGAGCTGAAGTCAGACACTTAATGGACTGAGCCATCCAGGCACCCCCCAATTTTTATATTTATAGATTCAAACTGAGTTTCAACAAGCCCTTAGAATATTTTCTGTCCATCTCCTCTTTTCAAAAGTCCATGCCAGTTGATTGTTGATTTAATAAATAACAAAAATACCCATCATTTATGGTTTGCCTAAATGTGTAAAGCACTAGGCCTTTATTATCAACTCACTTAATCCTAAGTATTCTATGAGGTAGGTGCCATTGTCCCCTTTCACAGATGCCAGGAGTAACCTGCCCACGGTCACACAGGTATTAGCTGCCACATGGTCTTTCCTCTATGTGGCACTACTTCCTAATGCTCAACTAGGATTCCCAATGCTTACTTAAGGAAAAGATAAAATGGACAACTTTTCAAAAAACATACAAAGTTATTACAGTGAGATTTCAGAATCGGCCTTACGTTAATTCATCTAGCTTTAAAAATCAAAATAAAATTAAGGAGTTAAAAATAGCATATGCCAAAAACTCAAGAGACTGTCAAATAAGCTTTGAGGTCTGTGGGCAAATAGAACAATGGCCAGGATTCATATCTACTTTATTGTTACCTCTGTCCCGGTCAAGGCCATTCAGAAATAACTTTTACTGTTGGGTCTCTCAGGTTAAACAATGAAATAAAACTAACAGGAAAAAAACTTACATAAGAGAGAACTGGCCAGATTATCTAAAAAAAAAAAAAAAAAAAAAAAAAAAAAAAAAAAAAAGGTTGTCTCACTAACTACTAACTTACTGTTGGGAATGACTTGTTCTCTTGAGGCCATCAATCAATCTCATCTCATTATAAGTACATATTAGAAACACAACTATGCCTGTATTAGAAGATCTTTTAGCCCAGAAAGCAGTAAGCTTTTTACTTGGCTTTTAGCACACATATCCCAAAATAGAAAGTACTTTAGTCTATTTTTCCTCCCTAAGTATTCCCCTTAGAAAAATTCCCTTAGAATCCAGCTCCAACTGTAAAGTTTCTCCCTCATGACATACAGATGACTACCAGAACCAGATTCCTGTAGAGACCAAGATGGTTGTAATGCTCAGAAGGTGCTTTTAAAAAACAAATTTCTCGCCCCCTTGCTAGTGTGAACTGCCACCTCTCCCACAAAAATGCAGGAACCAAGGGGTGTAAAGTCCCTTTACAAGTAAATCTTAGTTAAGTCTGGGGTATCCTTATTTCAAGGACAGCTGCCTAATGTGATGCCACTGAAAGAATAGGTAGCCTAACAGGAAATTACAATTTTCTCTCTACTTACGTAGATTTATTTTCTCATCTCTTCCTCCCCAACAAAATATGGAAAGTATCAAAATCTACAAAAAAAAGTAGTATGATAAGCCAAAATCAGTGATGATAGTCCTGACCACATCCCATTAGGTAAAAAACATAGGATTAGATAAATCAGTGTGCCGCAAAGTAACTGATGAATCCTTTTCCTAATATGAAGCAAATGCTAGAAACACTGGGGTCTTCACAAGCTTGCTTCCTGATGCACACCAGCAGTATCATCCCTACAGGTCAGAATGAATACGGTCCCTCCAATGTATTACATGATATTTATCCTCAAAAATAGCTAAAATTCCTGCCCAAACACATTTACTGTAATAGGATATGTGTAAAGAAACGTTACGAACTAAACGGTGCTCACACAAAACATGTTCTACCATTAGTAGACACCTATTATTAGAGCCAAAGTGCCTGGGTTTGATTTCTGGCTGCAGCGCTTACTTACCTTGTGCTGTGTATGGATCTAAGTATACACACCCCTGGGAAAATTATCTAACTTTTCTATGCCTCAATTTCCTTATCTGTAAAATGGGGCTAATTGTACTTACCTATTGTTAGTTGTTATGAAGACTTGGTTAATATGTACAAGGTGCTTAAAACAAAGCTTGCCACACAGTAGGCAGTGTAAGTGATTACTATTATTATAGACTAATTACCTGATGCTACCTCATCAGCTGATGAATAAATTACAAATGGACGGATTCTTTTTTAAGTTTATTTGTGGGGCGCCTGGGTGGCGCAGTCGGTTAAGCGTCCGACTTCAGCCAGGTCACGATCTCGCGGTCCGTGAGTTTGAGCCCCGCGTCGGGCTCTGGGCTGATGGCTCAGAGCCTGGAGCCTGTTTCCGATTCTGTGTCTCCCTCTCTCTCTGCCCCTCCCCCGTTCATGCTGTCTCTCTCTGTCCCAAAAATAAATAAATGTTGAAAAAAAAAAATTAAGTTTATTTGAGAGAGAGCTCACGTGTGAGCAAGCAGGAGAGGGGCAGAGAGAGAGGGAAAGAGAATCTTACGCAGGCTCCAGGCTGTCAGAGCAGAGCATGAATCAGGGCTCAAACTCACGAACTGGGAGATTGTGACAAATGGATGGATTCTTGTGTCTATACTATGTAGCATTTATGCTTTGTCTAGTCTCTATATATGTATATTCACAGATATAGTCAACTAACATTTATTAAACACCTACTATACCCCATATGCTTATTTTAATTATTGAGTTTGTCACAACACAACAAAGACTATATTACCATTTGTATTGTACAGATGCAAACAGGCTCAGAAAGACTGGAGATGCTATACACAAAATAAAGTTCTACAATAATATATCGATTTTTGAAAAGCAACAGGTATATAAAGCAGGGATCGGTCTCATGAGAATGCAGCTGAAGAAAAAAGAAAGCTATTAATAGTGGACTCTGTGATTTAAAAAAAAAAAAAACAAAACCAAAAGCTTATATTTAACAGTTTACAGTTTGTAAAAAAGGCCTCAGGACAACTCTGGAGATAGAGAAGCTAAGAACCAGAGATTAAGTAACATGCTAAAGATCCCACAGCTAGAAAATGCTATAGGCAAGACCTGAACCAAATTTATCTGACTCCAAGTCCAGTGCTCTTTGTTTCTATATCCACAGCCAATTGGGCAAAAGTCACTTTTTGCAGTGGCTCAAGTCTCTGGAGACTGTGCCTCCAGAACTAGCATCATGGGAATTTGCTCCGCCTGGTTTTATGGAGGCTGCCTTCCTGATCTATAGAGCTCCAATTCTAAAATGGCTTCAACATAACACAAGCACTGCATGATGGGAAATGTACAGAAGATTATAGGGTAGGAGCCATACTCCAGGAGCTGACAGTCCAGAAACATTTGCTCCTGATGAATGAGGATATTCAATCTAAAAACTAGGTGTGTGGTCTAGTCCAAACGACCTCATTTCCCATAGACTTCATCTGTAAGATGGGTGAATGGTTTCTTATCTCACCGAAGAGAGTGTAGGAAAATAATTCAGTAGTTGCTACGAATTATTAGCGTTCCATTTGGAAGACCACACCTAAAATTCTAAGTAGGGTTCAGTAAAAAGTGACACGTTTTACCCTCACCATTCTGTATGCTGCTAGGGAAAAACATCCAAGAAAAATGAGGGCTCAGACAACTGAGATATTCCTGAGAAATGGGGTACGTTGGGAGCAGTCAAGAAAATCACTAATAATCAAGCACTATGTATACACATAAATTTCCAAAGAGAAAATGCAAAAAGCTGAGTAGCTGTGTGTCCAGTTCTATAAACTGCCTATGCGTGTGGTTTCATATGAACGATTGAGACACAGTGAGAAATTCAGACAATTTTCATGTTCTTGAAAGTGCTTCATCTTTCTGCTTTGGATCCTGTGGCCGCCTGATTTTGTATGTTCATAACATCATCTTGCCAAATTCCGTCTCCCACACAGGACAAGTAAAATCAGAGTCTGATGCTACCTAGCCTTACCAAAGAAAAAGGGAGTGAAGCCAAGGACAAGAGACATGCATTTTTACAGAAACGCTGGCAAATTACCAATACTGCCACCTTTGAAAACCCCATTACATGCAGGTCTCCATTTGCAACAAAGATGTACTCAATCCTCTAAAGATAAGGGGCCCAAATCAATCCCACCCCTTCCCCATCACCAGGGAGGGCACCAGGCAAATTTCAGCCCTAAAAACGTGCTAACACACAGTATGGGTAAATGTTGGGTGAGGACACAAAAGACTTTGGCATTAAATGACGGGTAAATACCGTGGGAAAACACTCCCGATTTTCAGTCTCTGATATTTTTTTCCCGGGCATCAGGCCTGACTCAGTAACCGGTTCCAACAAATGCATTTTCTTGGTTCAAACCTCAACCCTGTGCTTCTCAGGGAATCTCGGGTTCTGCTAGGCTCCCAAGCCAGCGACCGATGAAGAAATGGCTTTACTGCAAAGTGGGAGGGGGTTTCCCCTTTGCTCTCTCCCAAGGTTAAACCCCTTACCCATCCAGGGGAGTCAATACAGGCCCTGGGCCTCGAAAACTCGCCCGTATTGGGTTAAATTTTAATTTTTGGAAACCAGAAAGCAAGGAACAGGGTTAATAGGGCTTAAAGGGTCGGTTTTCGCCAAGGAGCAGGGAGGGGTCGCGCAGGGATCGAAGCTGGGGAGGGGGGGAATGGAGGGTCGGGGGTCCGCGGGTCGACGTCCCTCCGGGTCCCGTTCGGAGCCGCACCCCGCCCGCAGGGCAGGGTCGCAGGCGGCGAGAGCTGCCCAGGCCTTTCCGAGAGCGATGGGGCTCGGCCCCGGAAACAGGGAGGGGCCGCGGCCAGGCCGGGCCTGCGCCGCAGGCGGCCTCGCGGGGCCGGGGAAGCCGCGCGCCAACACCTCCCGAGTTCCACCCGCGGGTTCGCCCGCGTCGCCACGGCAGCCGGCGCCTGGGAAAAGCTTCGCGCTTGGGCCCCCAGGGGCCCCGGGCGGACCCCGCACCGCACTCACCGGGGGAGGACAACAGGGAGCAAAGGTGATTGCGGGCGAAGCTCCGAGCGCGGGTCACCGCTTCCTTCCCAAGCCCACTCCTCAGGCAGCAGCGGCGGCGGCTGCAAAGGCGGCGGCGGCGGCGGCGGCGGCGGCGGCAGCAGCTACCCCGGCTCCGGAATCGGCGGCGGCGGTGGCGGCAGCTCCACTTCCGCTCCGGTCACCACTTCCGCTCCGGCCCGAGCCCCGCCCCGCCCCTGCGCCGGCTCCTCATTGGGCGAGCGGGCCACGGGGTTGCCCCGGCCGCCCGAGAGGGGCGCTGACGGAGGGAGGAGAAGGGGAGAGGAGACCCGGACGCCGCGGACGCGGAGCGAGGAGGAGGCGGGCGGAGGGGGACGGAAATGGGGGCGGAAAGAGGCGGTGGGAGAAGAGGGGGTGGAGCCGGGGGAGGAGGGAACGTGTGGGAACTTGGGGACTGGGCGAGGTGAGGGCTTGGGCGGGCGTGAGCCCCAGGTGCTGCGCTCTCTGCTTGGGCTCGGAACCCGGCAGGACCAGAACCACAGTCTCCGGGGTCATCCGTTCCCTCCCCACCCAAAAAGGAATCGCCACCGGGTCGGAGGCTGAGGTCAGTCCCCTTTCGCCATGTGTTTTGGGAATATTGGACCTAGGGAAGGACAGAAATTGCTTTTCCCTCAATTTTCGCTTAATCTTCCCTTTAGCCCTTTAACGGTACTTACCATTTTGCTCTTTTGTGGCCCGGACCAGGACTGGAACCGGCCAAGTCTTTGGTTCTTTTTTTGAAGCGGGTCTCTGTGATCTCTTCGTTGAGACACGCCCTTCCCAAGCCTCCTAGGGAAAGCTTAAGGGAAGGAAACAGGCCTCTACAGCCCCCACTCCCATTGAACTCAGTTCTCCAGAACGTCTTTCACCTCTTCTCCCTCCCTTTCATTCATTCTTTTAACAAATATTTACTGAGCAGGCTTTGTGTTCTGTGCTGGAGACAGAGCAAGCATGAGACAGACGGGCCTTGCTGTCTTGGAGTTTACAGTCTGGTAGGAGAAAGAACAAAGTAAATAGGCCTTTGTCATCTCTCCTTTACCCATACTTAGCTGAATGCTACAGACTTCTAACTCACCACCCTACCCTCAGCCCTGCCCCCATCAACTGCCAAAGTGATCTTTAAGAAATGCCATTCTTATCTTCCCTTTCTTGCTTAAATCCTTTGGTGGTTACTCAGACCTGGAAGACTATTGATAAGCGCCTTGAGTGTGACAGGTGACAGTCAAGGTTCTCCCTTTCCCTGCTCTTTCCCCTCCATGATAAAACCCCATTTCAGCTGGATGATGCCCTATCCTCCCAATATGCCAGCTCCAGTATTTCTAAACCATTTGTGTTAGTTGCCAACACTTTTTAAAGACAGACATTTCCGTGTGAACAGAAATCTGCATCAGTACTCCATCTGGCAGGACTGCGTTCACATTCCCGTGTGGCAACAATGGGCTGAAGCCAAGGAGTGGCTGTCCATTCTAGGTCAGAGACTTTTCAAAGTGCCAGGGTCCCCTCCTGACCTGAGTCTGCTTTTCTCATTTATGTATCTGCATGTAGGCATTTGTGCCAGTGACCCCTACACTTTTAACATGAGCAAGATTGAAAGAGAGTGTTGTGTAATGTAAACAGCACGGATTTGATGTTAAAACCGCAAGATTTGAACCCCAGAAGAGTTTCCAGTGCAAAAACTTCTCCATGGGGATCCATCTTTGGCAAACCAAAAAAAGATCAGTAATCTAGAGATTGACTCAGGTTGAAATAATGCAATGTAATCTGACTGTGGCTTCTGCCCCTATCCAGAAAATGCCTTAGTGGGGCAGAGGGCTCATGATAATTATACCCAAATGACGTCATCAGTGCGTTGAGGGAACCGAAGTGCCTTTTGCCAGGCACCCCTGAGTGTCTGCTAACAGGTTGCATGGATTCCCTGCTTTCATCATCTCTGCATTCTAGGCCAGAGGTCAACAGACCACAGCTATTGACAGACACAAACAGATACTGAAATACAACGTGGCAGATGAAGCCCAGGATATTTTGGGAGCCTGAGAGAAAGGCACAATCCATCTTGGGTTGGTGGGAGAGCAGGAAAGACTTTTTGAAAGGGAAGATACTTGAGCCTTAGATTCTATAAAGGATTTTTTTTTAATTGATAGGCTATTGGTGTAGAGCAGTTTCAGGTTCACAGAAAGATTAAAAAGGACAGTGTTCCCATACACCCAATCTCTGCCCCTCCCCATTTCCCCTAACATTAACAAGCTAGTGTTGTACATTAGTTACAATCAATGTACCAATATCGATATGTTATTAATGCAATAGTTTACATTAGGGCTCATTTATTTTGTACAGTTCAATTAATTTTGACAAATGCACGATATCTGTATCTACCATTGCTATCTCCTACAGAACAGTTTCACTGCCTTAAACCCCGCTGTGCCGGGGCACCCGGGTAGCTCAGGAGATCAAGAGTCCTTCTGACTTGATTTTGGCTCGGGTCATGATCTCACAGTTTGTGACTTCAACCCCAGTGTCAGGCTTTTGCACTAATGACATGGAGCCTGCTTGGGATTCTGTGTTTCCCTCTCTCTCTGCCTCTCTCCGGTGTGCTCTCTCTCTTCTGTCTCTCAAAAACAAACAAACAAACAAACAAACAAACATTAAAAAAACAAAAAACTCCCCTGTGCCTTATGCCCAGTGGGCCAGCCAGAGAAGATGCCGAACAGGAGGCAGAATTGCACCTTGTTTTGTTCCTTCCTGTCCCTAGAGGGCCTGTACTCTCTCTGCTCTTTCCAGTAAATAACATTTAGGCTAAAACGAAAAAATTTTAGAAGACAAAAGAAACCCTACAAAAACCCAACTATTCACTTACTTGACCCTCATCCCCCGCCCTCACCCCAATTCCTTGGCAATCACTTCTCTTTTACGCTTTGTTTTAATTTTGCCTTTTCCAGATGTCATATCGTTAGAATCCTGAGTGTCACCTTTCCTGACTGGACTCTTGCACTAAGCAATATGATTTAAGGTCCCTCTATGTCGTTTTATGGCTTGATGGTTCATTTCTTTTTATCACGGAGTAATACGCCATTGTATGAACATACCACATTTTTTCCATTCACCTGCTTATGGATTGACTTGTGTCTTTTATTTTTAATTTTTTTAATGTTTATTTATTTTTGAGAGGGAGAGAGAGACAGTGTGTGAGCAGGGGAGGGGCAGAAAGAGAGGGAGACACAGAATGTGAGGCAGGCTCCAGGCTCTGAGCTGTCATCACAGAGCCTGACACGGGGCTTAAAGTCAAGAGCTGTGAGATCATGGCCTGAGCCAAAGTCGGACACCCAGCGAACCAAGCTGCCTAGGTACCCCCTTTAAAAAAAAAAAAAAACAACTTTTTTTTAATGTTTATTTTTTGAGAGAGATAGCAGGAGTGGGGGAGGGAGAGAGAGAGAAGGGGACAGAGGATCTGAAGCAGGTTCTGCACTGACAACAGAAAGCCCAATGCAGGGCTGGAAATCACAAACTGAGATCGTGACCTGAGCCAAAGGCAGATGCTTAACCCACTGAGCCACCCAGGTACCCCTCAACTCCCATCTTCCAAAAAGAAATGTAGAAGTCCTAGTCCCTTGTACCTATGAACTGTGGCCTTATCTGGACAAGCCTTTGCAGGTGTAATCTAGTTAAGATGAAGTCATTAGGGTGGACTTTAATCCAATATGACGGATGTCCTTCTAAAAAGAGGAACAGGCCGCGTGATGACAGCGATTGGGTGAGGCAGCCACAAGCCAAGGAACACCAAGGACTTGTAACCACTGCCTAAAACTAGGAAGAGGCAGGAAGGGATTTACCCAGAGTCCCAGGTAAGCATGGCCCTGCTGACACCAGGTTTTCAGACTTCTAACCTGTAGAACTGTGAGAGAATAAATTTGGTTGTTTGAAGCCATCCACTTTGTGGGGCTTTGTTACAGCAGCCTTAGCAAACAGATACACCTACTGAGGGACAGAGATCTTGATTCAGTTTCCAACAGTTGAGAGTAAAACTGCTATAAACCAGGACCCCTGGGTGGCTCAGTCAGTCAAGCATCTGACTCTTGGTTTTGGCTCAGGGCATGATCTGAGATCGAGTCCCGCACTGAGAGAGTGGGGAGCCTGCTTGGGATTCTCGCTCTCCCTCTCTCTCTCTCTGCTCCTCTCGTTCTCTCAAAATAAATAAGCTTAAAAAAAAAAGAGAGAGAGAAGAAAAAATGCTATAAACCTTGTGCGGGTGTTTGTGTGAACGTAAGTTTTCAGCTCATTTGGGTGAATACCGGGAGCGTGATTGCTAAATCACATGTTAAACCTATGTTTAGCTTTGTAAGATATTATCAACCATCTTCCAAAGTGGCTGTACCATTTTCAATTTCCACCAGTAGTGAAAGAGAGTGCCTGATGCTTCATATCCATGTCAGCATTTGGTATTGTTAGGTCTTGTTGTTTTTGTTTTGTTTTTTATTTCAGCCATTCTTACATGGATGTACAAAGTTAAGAACCTAGTTTGTTTCTCCAAAGTTTCTTTTTGTTCCTATTACTCTGAAATTTCATGGTTTACAGCCTTGAGACACCCAGTGGCTTGCCTGCCTGCCTGCCTTCCTTCCTCCCTTCCTTCCTTCCTCCTCTTCCCTTCCCCACCCTTCCTTTTCTTTCCTTTTTCCCTCCATCCATCCTCTCTTCCTTTCTTTCACTTTTTATTATGACAATTTTGAAGCAAACGCAAAAGTTGAGAGAGTAGTACAATAATCTCCATATACCCATCACCCAGCTTTATTTTACTCTTCAGTCTATCCTTCTTACTATTAGCAGCAGGATTTTACAGCAAGTCCCAGATACTACATCCTTGCCTTTGTAGATACCTTAGTATGTAGTTCTAACAGATGAGAATTTAAAAATGAATAATGAAATAACAATTCCATGATCACACTTCAGGAAATTAACACACACAGAGTCCATGTTTGATATTCCCTCATTGTCTCAAAAATGACTTCTTTTACACTGGCCTACTTAAGTCCAGATTCAAGGTCTACCCATTGCATTTAGTTGCTAATTCTCATTGAATCTGTAACAATTACTCCTCCTCCTTTTTTTTTCTTTCTTTCTTTCTTTTT